CAAAGATCTAAAACAGACAAAACAACAAAGGCATTCATCGTTCGAAAGAAATTTTTGGAATGACCAAGACCATTTCCTCACTGAAACACGAGACAGCACCCATAAGTATGGCACCACACCACTTGTCTTCATATTGGCCACTAGTGCGACAAAAAGACGCACCATTATAAACATTGACCCCCCCCCCCCCCCCCCCCCCCCCACACAACACCCACCTATGGCCAGTCAGGAAGTGTGTGGGATCATAACGAGTCAGAAACACAGTACTTCACACTTCTCTCACCACCGGTTATTTTATATGTAAAAGGTCTTTTTTTCCCATAACAACACAGTCTACTAGGACTACTGGCAATTCAGATTTTTAAAAATACCGTTGCTGAAGTTGTTTGAACCCTTCTTTGTTTTCGTTAGAGGTTACAAAGACCAGAAATGTCAAAACATAACGGTCACGATGAAAAGGCTGGACTTGGCCAAAAACGAATCGGCGCGGCATTGGGGACTACGGTGATGTTCGTCACCGAATGAAACTATAAGTCTACAGAAACATTTTGTCCACCAATTTCAGAAAAGTTTAAACCAAAATGAGGCCCTTCAGAACTTAGGCAGACAAAGATCTAAAACAGACAAAACAACAAAGGCATTTATCAGTCGGAAGACATTTTTGGAATGACCAAGACCATTCCCTAACTTGAACACGAGAGAGCACCCGTTAAGTATGGCAACACACCACTTGTCCTCATAACAGCCAATAGCGCTACAAAAAGACGCACTATTATAAACATTGAAAAAACCCCCCACAAAATTTGGAAAAATGTCCTTTCTTTTAGGCAGTGACAATCGCTAACGTTAAAAAATGTTGGATACTCTAATGCAGTGATTCTCAATTTGTAGCTCAGGACCCAAAAGTGGGACACTGACAGCTACAAAAAATTACACATATTCTAATTCAGATTTTTGTTCTGCAGTACAGAGGTGTATCAAGTACCCACATGGAACATATTTTGTTAAACGACAGGAAGTGGAGCTGCCTCGCACTGAATCTACTACTCCGTAAACAAATACAGTGCAGCTCAGTCTCTGGCTAGCAAATGGCGATTGATTAGGTTTTGGAGGTACATCAAACTCACTTCAAACCGTTTTTGAAAATGTCATATAAATGTCTTGTCAGAGGCTATTTTTGCAACAAAAGGAAAATGCGGATCCCGTCAGTGCGCCACCAGTGTTGTCTGCGTATAACTTGTTGAATGGGTTGAATAATAACAATTTAAAAGCCATGAAAGTAAACATTTCGATGCTGATTTTCATTCATTCTATGTTCTATTTTATTTTTACAGTTGGAAAACCAAATTGTAAAATGTCATTCAAACAAATAATAAAGAACATCCAATTCAGCACAAAGGCTTCGTAGATTATTAAGTCATGAGCTTGTGGATGTGTTTCATTTCGCAGAGAAATACTGATTGAAGTATGAAGTAAGAAAATACATGACATCAAGTTCAAAGAGAGGATTCACTTTCAGAACAAACTTTTAGTTGAGTTTGAGTGGACATATTTCCACTGGGTCGGGCCAGCACAGGAACGGGCCAATGAAATGTCTGTCTAATCGTCCCCTCCCATTTGGTGTGATTCGTTTCAAGTCAGTAAACGTTTGATGCTGTCAAGGCGGATTTGCTGTTCACTTATCTTGCTGAAACGTAGACAAAATGCGGACGGGGCTTCTTCACCTGCTGCTCCTGCTGATCCCAGATGGAGGCAAGTCCACGCTGAAGGACAACGGATGTGCATAATGTCCATCACCCTGATTAACAGCTGTTTTTTTTTTCTGCTCAGAATGCGTCGCTGCGACCAACTTTACGACAGCGACAACGACAGTTGGGGAAAGTGTTTTTTTGAAATGTCCCCGTGACAACAAGTTCCTTGGGAGTCTTCTTTGGATCAGACTTGTTTCTGGAACCTTTCCTGAATTTTTATTTGGGACGCCAACTATCAATTCAGTCTCAATTAAAAATGGGACATTTAGCAGTGCACACCGCATCACAGCCAAACAAATGCCAGGAGAGTTTGTTCTGCAAATTCCTAATGTGCAGAAAAGTGACACTGCGGTCTATTACTGTTTGAAAGTGACTCAGCATGAATTGATGTTTTTGAGTGGAACATTTCTTCAGGTCAAAGGTAAAGTAGGTAAGACGCTTTGGGATGAAATCTAATGTCTCATTTGTTCCATCTCTGTTCATAGACAATTACATGAACTCAGCTGCTGCCACTCAAGACTCGGGGTCTGATGAGAGCCGCTCAGGACCGTCCGTGACTTTACGGTGCTCGGTCCTCCGCCCCTTTGGGAATAAAACATGTACAGACGAACACAAAGTATACTGGTTCAGATCTGGTACAGACGAGGCACATCCCAGCTTCATTTACGCTCATGAAGAATGTCAAAAGGTCAAAAAAGACTCGGTGCAGAAATGCTTTTATGCATTCTCAAAAAACCTCAGCTCCTCTGATGCCGGAACGTACTCCTGTGCCGTGGCCGCATGTGGGGAGATTTTTATGGGACGCGCAAGAGAGTTCACCAAAAAAGGTAAACATTTCGTCTTCAGTATTATCAATTGTGTGCTTTCATGTGTCAATTATTTTTTTGCTTTGTTTTTCTTGTATCATACAGATCAAAATGCGGATGGGTGTGATTTACTCCAGTATCTTATCTATGTCTTGGGTGCAGCTTTGGCCCTGAGCGTCATCTCTTTAGCCTTCCTCATCAAAAAGAGCATGACCCAAACATGTTTTTGCTGCAGAGGTAAGAGATTCTGCACATTAATAATCATCACTCAAGGTTTTTCAGATTTTTTGATCCGGGTAGAAATCCTTCCATGGAGCTCCTCGGATTTGTACACAGCAATTAAACATGACCAGCACGTGCACGCCTAAATTTTTTATATATTTTTCAGAAAACACATCATAACATCACAAATTCATCCATTTAGAGAAAAAAAATGCTATATTATCCGGAGAATGAAAAACCAAAAACCAAAAACTGTCCTCTGTTATTGAACAATAACAAAGATGCATTTTGTCGGAATAAAAAGTCGAGTTTTTCCGAGACGTTCCAAGAAAGTCGTAATATTGTGACATTGAAGTATATTTTATTCAAGATATGGCACCTTTATTTTCTAAAAATAATATAGACCTTTATTCCTGTCATAAGACACTTATTGTTGGGGGAAAAAAAAACCCTCCATGAATGCAGGGATATCAGATTTATGTGATGATCGATTATAATCACATCAGAGCTTTTAATTGGCCCATAGCTACGGGAGGGACGACTAATTGTTTGATTGGTGTGGCGGTCCCTTTATAAAAGCGTATCTATTTTTTCAAATGTTATGACATATTATTCTGGGGACCTCCGAGCGACGGCTCTCTCCCTAGTGACTGATGCATTTTCTCTCTCTAATATGCAGCTCATCCGCAAGCCCATGAAGAAACATCCACTGGTGTCCAGCAGGTCAGTCAAAAAAAATTCTCGGCTTGTTTGCTCCCATTTTACCTTCTTCTTGTGACGCGCATGACTTGTTTTCTCAGAGTGACGAGGACTCTTTGCTTTATTCCATGCCGAAAATAATCGCCAGGAAAAGTGGCAAAGGAGGCCAGATGGATGTGAGACGTCCGGACGAATTCAGTACATATACCGACGTTTGTGTCGTTAGACGAAATTTCAATGATCCCTCATTTTGAAAAAGTTACTCAGGAAAAGATGATGATCAATTTTCTTTCACGATAATATAAAAATGTTGAGGTTGGATTTGGAAGCGTCATGTCGTAAAGCGTCATCATTTGCTCATGTTTTACTTGAAAACCGCTGCAAATAAAATTGCAATATTTCTTTGTTTATTTTATTCTCGTGTGTCACAAGTCTTGAAATAAATATTCGGCGTGGTCATGATTCGAAAATGTTGCATGCTTTTTCCACTTCGGGCTGAAGTCAGGGTGAAGCCGTCGTGTTCTGCCTCGCTTCAACTTGAAGAGTCGTCAACCACAAGAAGCCTTCAACTTTCCACGCGGCAACTGTGGCAGGAGGTCTCGAGTGCTTGTGTGTGGAAGTGAGCAATCAAGTCGCTGCGTGTGTAGGTTGTTTCGGAGACATGCGGCATTTAGGGTTAGAAGGCCTGAAATGGGCTTGGCCGTGAGTGTGTGTGTGTGTGTTTGTGTGTTATCGTACGTTGATTGACAACTAGAAATTGTTCATCGGTGTGTATTTGAGCGAGGCTGGTTTTTGGGCCCTGCGATTGACGGGCAAACAGTAGCACACACTCAAGCATGCAGGATCGTGGCCTTCGAGGACTGGGGTTTGACCGCTGCGCAATCAAGGGTGTACCCCACTTCTTGCTCACTTTGGGATAGATGCGGGGAGATCCTCTCATCATTTTGAGAATCTACATCTCCAAAATTGCTATTTGACAGGAAATCCAAAAGACACCATTGTGCGGGCATTGTGCATGGGGATCTTGAGATAAATCTGTATTTTAAGTAGGACTCCTGATACTTTCTATGAAATGTTGCCTTCTTTTTCTTGAAAGACGGAGGCTCCTCTTCTGTCTCCTGGCTGGGCCTTTTCCCATTCCCAAAGATGTTTGTTTGTTACTTATTTTGTGAGCAGCTCGCAGAATGAGTAGCGAGCTCCTGGTTTTCGTTTTAGCGGTAACCTATCACGTGACTGAGGAGCGCGCTTTGACCTGCGTAAGGAGTGATACACTGTCGACAGATGTAACAGAGAATCTGGTAATTTTTCCAAGTAAAACATCTTTCAGATTCCGAAATAAATGAAACGGAAGTAATGTAAGTTATTTATTATTTCTGTGCGGCCCGGTACCAAATGACCCACGGACCGGTACCGATCTGTGGCCTGGGGGTTGCTTACATTGCGACCATAAACTGGAGCGCACCGTCCTCAGAAATATTATGTTCAACCCCTAATTTAAATCCGGCTAGTCGTACAAGAGCTCCTCCTAGCCAGAAAAAAAAAAGCTGCTAATACTTCAATCCAACAGTGGCCTCATTATCTTTCCAAATACTGTTTAAATGTCTAAGAACCTCAAGCAATGCAAGAAATAAAATTATGGGCTGACTACACCGAGGAAAATTACATTCACATTCACATTCAAGCGCAGATTCACCACTCGGCAAAGAAATACAGATAATGAGCACAAATGCTCCGACGGTAATGCTTCTGGAGACACGTGTATGAGGTAAAAAAAACAAAAAACAAACTGAGCGCACTGATATGCACCATTTGACTGCTCTCTCCTTCCTTAAACGAGGAAGTGACGTTCCTCAGGTAGACGAGAAAGTGACGCTTCCTCGTGTCGCTT